AATAAAATCCCCCAGACGATTCTACCCGAATCGCCCGGGGGCTCGGGGGCACCTGTCGGGTTCATAAACCCGGGGTCCCTCGGGGACCGGCTTCCACGCCAAGGCTTGGCCCAAGCGGGCAGCACACAACTCATGGGCCAGCCCAAGGATCTAAAACAATAGGCCGAAAGAGCGGTCCAGTCACCGACTGGAAGGTCTGGCCGAAGAGGAACAACGCCAGCTCGTTGACTACTTCGGCCCACCTCTCCGACCGGAGCGCTCGCTTCGGACTCCAGCCGCCTTCGGACGGCCTCTCCGATCGGAAGGCTGGCCCAAAGCGCTACTTCCAACTCCAACCCCGCGTCTCCGACCTGGGTTCGCAGAAACCCTACTCACCACTCTTCTCCGACTGGCGCGACCAGGACTGACTGGGGCCATCCGACCAGGAACGCCCGCTCGGAAGGAAATAGGCGACAAACGGAAAAAGCAAGCCATGGCTCACAGAGTCAAACCACGATACTAGGGACCATACCCTGTACAGTACTCTGCAACCACCCTGACACAAACAGTATTGTAGGCGTCAACATTTCCTTCTACAGTATTGTAGGCGCCGTTAACTCCCATACGGTAAGGCCCCCCACATGCCTCTAGGCATCGATAGTGTTGTGGGCGTCGGGATTTACCGTACCAGGTGAATGTGGTGAACCTCCTCACATGCCTCTAGGCATCAACAGTGTTTGCAGGTACCGACATCTGCCATTTCTGAAGAAGGCAACACAACCTCCTACGTGCATCTGACACTCTACAGTGACGACCAACAATGTTGTAGGCGCCTACCATTATCTTATACCCACCGGCATGGGCGACAGAGCCTAGTAGCATACGTAACCTCACCCTCTCACTTGTAAAGCCATCCCTTTTATCTATAAAAGGGGATGCGCTCCCTCCAACAAAAGAGAGCTTCTTGAGTCCTTTTGAATAAACCAACATCGATCGAGTTCATCAGCTCACAACCACAGAACCACCGGGTTCGTACCCCAAGCATATGCTTGAACACTTAGCTCATAGCGTAGCTCCTGTCGCTCTTGGCCCTTCCGACCAGAGCCGACCAGACCTTTTGTACACCCCATCTTTCTCCTTCTTGTTTGTAACCCCACTACAAACTTGGAGCACCTGGGCTCAGGAATAAAGTCACTGACTGACCCAAACTGGACGTAGGGCACGTTGCCTGAACCAGTATAAACCCTATGTCATTGAGTGCTAGGCCACCTCCGATCACAATGTACAGCAAAACTATAAATATTTACTAGTTGGTCACATTCTGTACCGACAGCTTGTGTGCCCTCAAATGATTCATCTAACTTCTTCCATGCCTCATGAGCCATCTCAATATTCTTGATTTGCTCAAATGTTCTCTCATACAATGCATCATGAATGGCACTAAGAGCAATGTCATTATTTTAGAGTAGCACTTCTTCGGCCACGATGGGAGTCTCCGGATCGGCTATCTCAATCTTGGTCTCCACCACATTCCACACCTTTCTATTGATTGACTTGATGTAGATGGTCATCTTTGCCTTCCAATATGGATAATTCGAGCCACCAAATTGGGGTGGCTTCTTGGTGTTATTGATTTGAGCCATTTTCATATAGTAGGTTGTTAAGCCTCGAAGCACGGTGACCACGTCTCTGATACCACTTGAAAGGTCATAATGGCTAGAGGGGGTGAATAGCCTATTAAAAATTCTACAATAACACTTAAGCCAAGTGGTTAGACAATTAAATGGCGAAGCGAGTGTTGCGTTTGCCTACTCAAAATACAAGCCTCCTATCCATAATTCTAGTTGCTATGATCTCTATTTCACACAAGAGGCTAAGTCACTACCACTAAGTTAGTGTGCTCTCAAAGACTAACTAAAGAGCCTCACTAACCAAACTAGACAAGACACAAGCTAGCTCTCAAAACTAGTTACACTAAAGAGCTTAGCTGTAGTAGGAAAGTAAATGCACAAGAGAGGTAGTGAGTTATACCGCTGTGGCAAGAGATGAACTATCAATCACAATGAATACCAAGAGAATTTCTTGGAGACAAGATGACATAATGATTTTTCACCGAGGTTCACTTGCTTGTCGTCAAGCTAGTCCCTGTTGTGGCGATTCACCGATTTGGAGGTTCACGCGCTAATAGGCATCACACGCCTAACCCGCAATTGGGTGCCGCACAACCAACACAAGATGGGGATCACACAAGCCACGAGCAATCCACTAGAGTACCTTTTGGCTTTCCGCCGAGGAAAGGTCAAGAACCCCTCACAATCATTATGATCGGAGCCGGAGACAATCACCTTCCTCCTCTCGACGATCCTCGCTACACCAAGTCATCAAGGTGGCGGCAACCACCAAGAGAAACAAGCGAATCCCGTAGCGAAACACAATCACCAAGTGCCTCTAGATGCAATCACTCAAAGCAATGCACTTGGATGCTCTCCAATCTCACTAAATGATGAATCAATCAAGTAGTATGAGTGAGAGAGGAATGACTAGGCTCACTAGGGTGTATTCTCAATAGAAATGGCCAAGAGAGTGAGCCCAAGCCGGCCACACGTATAAAATAGAGGCCCTAATGAAATAGAGCCGTTGGGCTCAACACAGAACCCACTACGCATCGACCGGACGCACTGGTTGGGGTGATCGGACGCACCCAGGCCAGCGTCCGATCAACGGATGCGCGCCATGCGTCCACGCGTTTGAACCTGCACCGCTCGATCTCAACGGTCAACTGCTCGCACCGACGGTCAAGTAACGACCGGACGCGTTAGCAGACCGAGACGGGCGCGACAATGACCGCATCGCTCGCCGCTTGCTTCGCCGCAGACGCCTAACGCCGACTGACTGACGCGCCCGTAGTGTCTGATCACTTCCAGAGACAATCCAGAGCCACCCAAACGCAACCGGACACGTCCGCTCAACCTCGATCGGATGCAGCCAGAGTCAGGTCTTCACCCGAGCCATGCGACAGCGCCACGTCATAACGACCGGACGCAGGAACAATGTTCCCACAACGTCCGATCGCATGCCTCCACCAGAGTCCGATCAAGACCCGAGGCTGCGCTCTTCTCTGCCACGCTGACCAGACGCACACCGCAGGGTCCGGTCCAGAGTCCATCAACACGAAACACCTCCTCCGCTTTACAAACTTCGCCACCCTTGAACAAATGTGCCAACCACCAAGTGTATCATCTTGTGCATGTGTGTTAGCATATTTTCACAAATATTTTCAAGGGTGTTAGCACTCACTAGAATCTAAATGCATATGCGATGAGTTAGAACATCTAGCGGCACTTTAATAACCGCATTTCATGACGAGTTTTACCCCTCTTAATAGTACGACTATCTATCCTAAATGTGATCACACTCACTAAGTGTCTCGATCACCAAAACAAAATGGCTCTATGAATATCACCTTTGCCTTGAGCCCATTTTGTTTTTCTCTTTCTTCTTTTCCAAGCCCGAGCACTTGATCATCACCATGTCCATCACCACCATCATGATCTTCATCCATTTGCTCCACCACTTGGAATGTGCTACCCTATCTCATGATCACTGAAAATAATAGGTTAGCACCTAAGGTTTCATCAATTCACCAAAACTAAACTAGAGCTTTCACCGTTCCCCTGGCGCCCGGGCCATGCTCACATAACTCTCTAAACATACCTCTCAAACATGAAACACTTGCAACATGAAACACTTGAAGGGAACATAAGTCTGAAGCAGATAAAATATTTGAAACATACACTTGCAACATGTGTGTGAAACATATGCAATATCCAGATAAAACACTTGCAACATGAAAACACTTATTGCTACATAAAGACCGAAACAGCTAAAACATTTTGAACCTACTCTTGCAACGTATGTGTGAAACATATGCAACATCCAAATAAACACACTTGCAACATAAGTCTGAAAAAGTAGATGAAACATTTGGAACGGATGCTTGCAACATACGTGTACACCCATTGCAATATGTGCAACATCACGATCTATTTTTACAACATCCATATGAAACACTTGCAACATACCTTTCAAACATCTGAAACAATTGGAAAATACTCTTGTAACATGCACTTTCAATGCAATATCTCCTTGCTGCTCAGCAGAATGGAGGCTCATCGGTGTGTGGTGTTCACCAGAGGCAGTGGCCCGTGCGGCACTTATAGGCGATGGGCCGGCGGCAGTGGTTGCATGTCGTGGAAGGGAGGCACTGACCCGCTACATGGAGAGTGCAAAGTAGCGTCGCTGCGCTCAAGGGCCCAGCAATGAAAGAGTGCCCTTAGAGGCGGCCGAGCAGGAGCCTCAGAGGCGGCCGAAACCTTGCACCTCGAGGGGGTACTGTGCGCCGGAGAGGTGGCGGTGACGGGTAAGAGTGATAGGAAAAAGAACGAGTGGATAAAAATAAGTGAAGAAGTAGTTTTTTAAGAAACAAATGAGCTTGGCTGGCGTCTATGGCCTAGGCCCAGTTTAGATCCGAAAATTTTGGCAAAATGCAACTGTAGCGCTTTTCGTTGTTATTTGGCAATTAGTGTCCAATCATAGTCTAATTAGGCTTAAAGATTCGTCTCGTGGATTTCGTCTAAACTGTGTAATTAGTTTTATTTTTTATTTATATTTAATGCTTCATATATGTGTCAAAGATTCGATGTGACGGAGAATCTTGAAAAATTTGGCGTATTGAGGGGACCTAAACAGGCCCCTAGTAATAGAACGTCCGGCGGACGGACGGCCCGGTTCACAGGACTACCGAAAATGTTTTCCCTCTCTGATGTCGTCAAGCGATGGAAGTAATCATTTATTTAGGCCTCCAGTCCAAGAGCGCACTACAAGCCCATTCCATTTCCCTCTTCTTCGACCATCCCTCCAAATCGAAAGGCGGGAAAAAAAAAACCCAAACCCCCCTCCCGGCCTGACCGACCTCCAGAAGCTTCGAGAAGGGCCTTTCACGGACGGCTTCCCCGGAACCGATGTCTGCAGCTGCGTCGGCGTCGGGCGGGGACACCCCGAAGCAGCTCCTCTCCATCATCCGCGACTTCGCCTACGAGAAGTCCCACGGCGGTAAGCACCCAACCCCTCCCGCGCCGAGCGCGCACGCCACTAGGTTATTCGCACGCGTCCGCGGCTGATCGGACGCTCCGTCTCCCGCTTGGCGTGCGCGCAGAGCGCAGGGTGTCCGACCTCAAGCGGCGCCTCGCCGATGCGCGCGCCGCGGCAGACGCGGCCGCAGCGGAGCTCGAGGCCGCGAAGCGCGCGCGGGAGGCTGCGGAGCAGGACCTCCGCGGGAGCCAGGTGCAAGCCGCGATCGCCGCCGACTCCATCCTTGCGCTAGAGGTTTCTCCTCGTCTCGCCCTGAAATTTCTGAATTATCGCTCTTGCTATGCCCAATTTTCGTGATCCGAATTACTTTGGTGCGTTTAGGCGACGATCTCGCATCTCCAGGAGGAGATCTCGAAGGCCGGCACTCATCTGGACGCGCTCAAAGTTAGAGCTCCGCATTTCGCAGCGAATTTGGTCTCTTTGTTGCTTTAGTATTAATTAACGTATGCTCATTCTGGTGTATGGTTTGGATCGGAATGGATGTGCTGTTGGCGCTTCACGAATTTGCTCTAAAAGAGCAAGGGAGACAGTGAGAGGTGAGTAATATGTACTCTAATATGTACTCTATGTAATGCCTTGTTGCTCTGCAAAATGTCACATGTGTGTTGTTCTGTACTATATTTTTATTGTGATCATGCTTATACTTCCCCCCACTGTTGCAGAGAGGAGTTCAGTAGCAAGATGTATGAGATGAATGCAAAGATAAGGTATGAAATGTTTTGTTTTGCATGTTATGACTTCTTTTGTTGTTTGATGCATTCATAAAACAAACTATAACTGATGCTGCATCTCTCTTTTTTTTTTTTGGCTTTGCCTATAGCGGTGTTGGCAGTAACTACCTCTGTATAATAGGGATATGATGTATTGTTTGGGTATTCTCAAAATACTTGAGAATGTGAGGTACAACAAGGGAGCACAGCGGTGACACTTTTCATATGGAACATGTATCAGGGGTGCTCGCATGAGTCATGACATTGCACTAAGAGGGCACTTTAAGATTCTTATTACATCCTACTTTAACTGTTTTCAATTTCCATCAATTTGGCATTTCCTTGTTGGCTAAAACTTGTTTTTGTAAGTTTGAATTTTGTTGCTATCATGTTAATCATTGAAAGGTAGTACTATCTTGTTCATTATCTAGAGAAATAATATTCCTCTTCTGCAGGCAATTTCAACAGATGGCCTCTCTAGAATTAGCAGAGCACAATCACTGTGAGCTGCTGTCTACAGAAGGTAAGTAGTGAAAATCAGAATGCAACATACCACTTTCTGTTCCTGAATTGTGCAAGGGGTTCCATTGAATATGTGTTTTCTAGTCATTTCTTGTTTATTGCTTCTTTATAGCTTTTCTTTCCTTTTATAGAAAATAAATTATGGATGATTGGAACTCTAAGAATTGCACTCTGCACTCTGCTTGAATTTTTACCTTGCAATATTAAATTGTGTCGTTATTGTTGAAGCTGATTCTGTACGTTATGATTTAGAGTTTTTGTGCGTTGCCAGGTGACAGCTGATAATTGCTCATTTAATACCGTAAGCAAAACATGTGATTATTTAATAACAGAGAGGAACTTCGAGATAACCCAGTTTGGTGTTGGCTTTGTACTTATGAATCTATTTTTTTTCCAACACGGACAAACCGAACTTCATTACAAATAGTAACAAAATTACAAAGTTTCATGCCATCAGACAAGTTTAAGACCCAAAAACCCCATATTGCTCACCAGACCGAGCACAAAGGGTTCAGCCAGTGGAGCAACCAAAACCACCGGCGTCTATGACACCCCAGAAAGAAAACCAAGGTCCAGACAGATACAACAGAATATACCACTAAAACCCAGTTCGACTTATTACAAGCCGAGAGGGCTGCTACGGCACGCAGGCCAGCTGTGTCTGTCTTCCTTTCCAGCAAACTACTAAATCATTCCAATCTAATTTGTGTTGTTAAATTTTGTAAAACTTTTTTCTTTGTCTGTGTCCATTTGTCATCTTGTTTCTGAAGCATCTTATAGTTATAGTTAGTCTAAACATCCTTTGTCCTCTCCAGTAGTCAAATGTATTGAAGTTATGATATGTTGAGTGAGACTGCTCGTTTCCTTCTTTTTGACATTTTGCAATTAACATATGGATCAATTTGTGCACTTCATTCCCTTACACTATCTTTTTTTTTTGAGATGGATTCCTTTACACTATCTGAGATGTCCTTTTGTAGGTGAACATGTCAGAGACAAGAGTAAAACTGTGGACTCAGAAGGCAATTTGAAAGAGTTGGCAGATAAGGTGAGCAACGCTGAAGCTGAGGTGCAGATCTTGGAAGAAGAGTATAAAAAGGATCTGCTTGATCATGATAAGGTTTGTTCTTCCCGAAGCATTGCATTATATTTATCTGCACAATATTAACTGATTAAGCAGAGATCTTCCAACATGGCAACATCTTTTCAATTTTCTGTTCAATAAGACCACCCTGATGAAAATCTGTGGCTGTGAATTACGTGATATTTGAATGACAGCTGACATGTTCTTTATTTAATAAGTTTAGACAGTATATGCGAACCATTAAACTGTCAAATGCATATTAAGCTGTTTTAGTTCATGAATCAGGAAAGTTTGAAACATGATGACGACAAGTTGGCATTTGACAAGTGCGATGCATAATGCTTGTTACTGTGTGGTTAAAGCATCTGAAGGCAAATTCATTAACTGTGGAGTGGTACATGTGTTTGCCAAAAGCTGTTCAGCATTACAGACACTAGTAGGCGGCGTAATGTCAAGGGTCATGGCTGACGTGCAGGCAGAGGATGTGTGTGGTTTGAACTGCGGTGTCATCTATTTTAATAATCCATATTGACCATCAGTTCTCTCCCTCGTTAGTTGGGAAAGGTTCGGTGATCCAGGACATTTTGCCCCGCCAGTTTAACAAAACCAATGATTTTAGTTTTCTGTTTGCAGGTCCGTCAGGAGCTGGCCGATGTCCAAGCAAAGAGAGCTCTTATGGAGGCTGTTATGGGAGCGACAAAGCAGCTGCAGGAGCTCGGCGAATATCCTGAAATTTATGTACAGAGCTATCTGTTTCTATGCGTTTCTATTCACATTTCCCCATGCTTTCGGCGAAGCTTTCTTTAACCTGGAACACGCGGGCAGCTGAACTGGAGAAGGTGCACGCTTCACTTGCAGAGGAGCTGCAGCGTCGGTACGCATGCCCCGGCTGCGGAGTCAACAACATGCCTGGGCTGGAGGAGGCTGCGAACTAGAGGAAGCGTCAGATGATGTACCGTGCATACATAATTTTGTCAGATGGGTGACGTAGGGCTGTGGCTACCGGATTCTTGAACTTGTCGATGAGCGATTTGATTATACTCAGTAGAAGGCCTAGACGAGCTTGTCATACACGTCGGCGAGCTGTGAGTTCCAGTCTAGAGAAGTTGAGCTATGAAAGTTGAGGAATGTCTCGGTCCTGTCTGAACCTATATTAACCATATTCTATACTCTACCTATGTGTTTGCCTTGTGTTCCTTTGGTCGTTCCATGATAGAATCACAACTGTGGCCTATGGGAAGCCAACTCTTCTCGTCTCTGCAATAGCGCTCTTCCTTCCTCCACTCAATGCAAACCGTGGTGGCACCTTCTCCCCCTCTCCACTCTGACTACGTAGAATCTGGATGCCCATTCCCCCTCAATTCACACCATTCTCTCCCTCTCCACTCTGACTCTACGTGCACTCCTGGATGTCCATTCCCCCTCAATTCATGCCACCTTTGCAGTTACAGTCTACGTCAGGAGCGATTATCCATTGCAAGATTTGTCATGACTGATGTCGAGCCCTTATGGATGGTATGGCGCGTCCATCTCCATCAGCAGTCAGCACTGCCTTGCTCTGTGTTTTTCTTTTTTTTTTCTTTTTGTTTTTTTCCAAACCAGTTTTTCCCAAACAACAAACAGGATGTTCAACAAGTTGCAAAAGACCACGATCTGGGTATCTCAGGCAGAGTGGCAGACAAAGGAGGATAATTATTACACTATCCTTCATTGTTCTTAATTCACAAGGCTGAGCTGCAGCGCACTTTGTTTTTATCAAAACAGCAAACTACAAGAGGAACAGTTACAAGGGATTACAGTTACAGCAAACTACAAGGGCCTGTTCGCTTGAACTTATTAGCCGGCTTATCAGTTAGAATCTACAGTATTTTTCTCTCACAACAAAATAGCTTCAGCCGGCTTATCAGTCGGCTTTAATACCAGCTTCGGTGCGGCACGCTAAGTATAACGAAAGAAGTGTAGCTTTCGGGATACTTCTCGCCCTTGCATTTACATTTCACAAAAAGCAAGGGAACAAAAAACTAGATGGCATCTATTTCTTAGGTTTCTGTTGTCTTTGCTTCTTTGCTGCTACACACAACGTATGACATCACCAGCGCCAAGATTCTGCCTACAACAACACTACATTGGTGGCATGCTATTGATCCTACAAAATTTTGCCTCCTGAGGGGGGGCTATCAAAACATTGTCAACATTATGCTAATTACCAACACCACGCAATGGTGAAATGTCGGATCAAGACGAATCATGATGTTAGTTTCTCCAAAGTTTCTAATAGCCTGACAGAGTGCTGCTTATTCCTCACTAGGACACTGATTTCATCCAGAGCTTCTTGCTTTGCAATATAGCTCCCAACTGCTTTGACATATGGGAATTCTGGTCCAAACAAATGAGCAGCACAAGCCGCCTTAGCAGCCAGGAGCTTGCAATCACCTGTAAAAACACAGAACTGGTTTTAGCCGTGATCCCATCGCACACATCTAAATATAGCATGCTAAGGGGGATATGTGCCTGATAATTCTAATTCCACACAATAATGTCATTATGTTCTCCAGGGAAGCACCATACCACTAAATATGTTTACTATCAACGTTTTGGGACAGCAATCCAATAACACTAGATTTTGGAATAGTAATCCAAGTCACCGTTACTCTCCCAATTTGGGTGTAGCCCCACCATACCTTGTGTCGCTGACATGATCACAAACCTCACTGATAAGGTTATCATTATGTACAGCTAAGGAACAACAAGCTAACAGCTGTCACAGGAACATGGAATACCAGAGAGAACCTTTTCACACCAATACACCACAGTAATGAATTGAATCAAATTGGCTTATCGGTGATCCAATACTAAACAATATGCTGCAGGGTTCTGCATACAGGTACCCATCATCTTCATGAAAACAGTAACCCTAGATCAACCAAAAAAATATTCCCAGTCTCACATAGTATAATATGGAACAAATTAGAGTCAATATGGATGACACTTACTGGCCTAACTAATCTTAATTAAAGTAGGACATTATGTCATTTTATGCCAGTAATATAAATGACGAATGAGCATTTTGGCTACCTGATCGAGTTTCTGATGTATAAGCATTTTGGCTGAAATGATGGTGTGCCCACCATCTGCATCGGGCCTTCCATGATTCTCTGGTAAACCGCTCAAAAAAGACTGAAGACAATTTACTGGAAACCTCCAATGCTTCATCTCCATGGGTATTAGTACATGATATGCAATCCTCATAGTCAGCAGTATTGTCAGAAAAAAGCCGAAGGAAACATGATACAAGCTCTTCCCAGATGCAGGTTTTTCCATCGACGGAATCTAAATGTAAAGCTATTGCCTCGAGTATTTGGATGGCATTATAATATCCTGGGGGTAACCAATACAAAAAATAAAGGCGAAGGCAAACATTATTTAGCAAAATACTTCATTTCCCAGATAAGAAGTACAATGACAAGTCTAAAAGTAAAGCTATTGCCTCAAATAGTTGGATAGTGATCCAGGGGCAACCAACAGAAGAAAAAGTGATGAATACAAACATTTAAAAAAGGGCGTACCCAGTGCAGAGAGCTCCCGCTCTGTGCGGGGTCTGGGGAAGGGTGTTAGTGGCACAAACATTTGCTTAGCACAAAATACTTCAAATCACCACAACCTAAATTGATGTTCAAATATTTTTGCACCATGGAAAATAGTCACAGGAACATCGAAAACATGAAGTTAATGTTTTGGCGTGAGGAAAAATGTATAAGCTGTAGTTGATTCTTCCATATCTGAACTGCAGCAGCCTAACACCCTGCTGACTAGGGGTAGCTGTAGGCTGCTCTAGCTTATGGAGGCGCGTGTGGAAACTGCGGCCAAACTAATATTTTATTCTGTCCTGCTTTGAATAAAATAGGACAGGGCCTTAGACTGTCAACTATCAATTTCTAATACGAAAAATATAAATGAAGTATTACACAATGTGAAAGTACCTTTCATGAAGGTTCTACTAGTACTAATCTTATGCTGTCAAGTGTCAACCTACTTAGGGTTTTATGTATTGATTGTCCAAGTTTTTAAAAGTTTGACAGGTATGGCAGTAATCCTTGAATGATATGTTTAGTCAAGGCTCAGTTGAAAGTGGAATATTTCAAATGCCTTTACCAAGGAAGCCTCAGTTTAGTGAAGTGAAAACCTGTGGATATTCTATGCACCAAAAGTCCATACATGATCACAGATAGCCAATCATACCAGCAAAGAGTTTAACACAGTTATATGGAAGAATAATTCAGCTATCCAAGTAGTACTGTGATTAAACAGTAGAAAAATCTGGAAGACAAGCTGTTAAGCCCAAACCTTTTCTATGCATTTTGATTAGCCTCTCCATGGAGTAGCTACATGTAGGATCTCTTCTCAAAGCCTCCTCATAGCAAGAGGAAATGGCTGATACCTGGTTTTGGTCATACTCTTCCAGCAGCCTACCTCTCAACCTGCAGCAAGAAACGAATTAACTTAAACTACTCAAATCACAAAACCTTGTTTTTAATCAGACGAGGAAAAACAGACTAGATGATTCAAAAATACCATGATTCAAGATGACACATTGTTTTACCTGAAAGGGTGGGCTGTAGTTGAACTGAGGCAGGCCTTTTCAAGCTCATTTAGTGCATCTTTCAGTTTATCACCAAGGAGGAGAATCTGTCAAAACGTATGTAGCAAAAAAAAAAAATGAACAAATGGTAAAACAAAAAATCATAAAAGTAAATGAAATTCACAGAGCATTCCACGTCGATTCAAAACAAGCAGCACATGATTAGCTTGATATGAAACAGGAATGAAAGAAAACACGGATGTCAGCAACTCTACTACAGGTGTACCAGGAGAATCAAGGAAGGCGGCAAAGCGGCACAAGACCAGGCCAGGTCTGCTGAGGAGATGGGCCGTGTGAAAAGGGGGCGTGCGTGTGTTCACAGACGAGGCCAGGGTGACCGTGTATCTGTAAAAGGAGGAGCTGTGTAGAAGGGGGCTGGCTCGGTTTTTGGCTTGTTGCCGTGTTGGCATCGGTGCTGTCCAGTGATACAGCAGCGATTTCGATCAGAGTTGTATCTAGCCATATACTCGTGATTTACCAAAGTATCATTGGAGAGTCCCACAACGGAAGACTAGATCAATGTCATTATGTCAATATGGTACAAAAGATGCAAAGACTAAGAACAAATTATGGTGTACCCAATAACAACTTGAAAAAGAAAATCTGGTCTCTAAAGGAATGTAAAGGGCGTACCCAGTGCAGAGAGCTCCCGCTCTGTGCGGGGTCTGGGGAAGGGTGTCAGTGGCAAGCCTTACCCTCGCCTGTGCAATGCGAGGAGACCGCGACTCGAACCCGGGATCTTACGGTTACAGGCGGTAAGACTCTACCGCTTGCACTATAAGCGACGTGGTGCAGCACGAGTGATGTAGAGGAGAGGGGGTGTCCAGAAAACCAAGATGTCTCTCATGCATTGGATAGCGTAGGCGCATGTAAAAAACTGAGAGAACCAACTTCCATTAGAATGCAGGTTGTACCACCCAATGTCGAGGTGCTAAAGTGAGGCGTGGCAATCCACCCACCTCCTATGGCTAGGGTACTTATGAGTGAGGTGAAGTGAGGTCATACCATACTACTCTAAGAAACTGTGAGAAAATAGCAGGGTAAGAGTAAAAGAAAAGAAAGATATACAGAAAGAAGTTGTTGGATTAGATTAGGGGTTGTAATGCTGGCTTTATATAACGCACATGAATACCTCTCTTTTTAGTTAATCAATGAAGAAGAATCAATCAAAGTCTCCCAAAAAATCTAGTCTCCCTCCAAGCCAACTCCGCCTAGCTATCTTCCCGGTGATGTTTACCCCTAATGAACTAGGGCTCATTACATCTGCTTTAGTCTCGCGAATCCCATGCTATCAAGGAGAGTTCCTGTATGCATCTAATCATGCAGATCTACCTAATGAGGCCTGGAGTTTCCATTCTTCACATGAAGATAAAAGATAGCAAGCAAATCCTGCAAATAATTTCAGTTGCATGAATGTTTTCTTTTGAATTCCACTCCCTTTTGGACTCCACTCTACTGCCTGAACAATTCTGCGAGAGAAGTCAAAAAATGAAGCAGGAGATTTGTGGACCAAGAATTAGGAGATATTCCCCGTGAGCCATATTGGTGCATGCAAGAATTCAGGAGCAGCCTAAGTCCCTATCTTTCATGCTTCAGGATGGGGGTCCACCTATATTTGGATATGCGACACAAACAAAGAGTTCAAGTTAATTCCAAGTCTCACTCGCAAATAAAATGAAGCCGAGATGTAAAAGGCTTCTTTCAGCACAGTATTTATGTGCACCTGCATGTGCACATCAGATCAACGATCAGTTAAGGTCTGCAGTTATATGATTTCCATCACAGCTCAAGGGTGAGCTGTTTTGCAAGGGAAAAGGAGACGTTATTGGCAGTGATAGGGGCCAATTCAGGGAGGAGGCGCAGCAGCCTATGCAGCAACAGATAAAATTCATTATGATGATTAGATTAGGGGTTGTTAGGCTGGCTCTATATGAGGTATACACATGCCTCTCTTTGTAATTCATCAATATGAAGAAGTAATCCAAGTCTCCCCAGAACTCTAGTCTCCCTCCAAGCCAAGTCCGCCTGGCTATCTTCCTAGCAGCATTCCCCTCTAACAAACGGCTCATTTCAATTTGGAGGATTTGAGGGAAGGTAACCAAAAGAGAGGGCCAGAAGCAGAAAATGGTACAATGATGCACAAATTAGATGAAAATGGTGTATTAAATAAAAGGCTAGTTCACACAGGGCAATTTGGTTTTAGTTTGAATACAGTTGCAGAATCACGTAGCTTCTCATATGTATGGGAGATCAAGTACCAAATACCTGTATTAGTGGTAATAACGCAGCCATCACCGGCGGATTTGAATAAAGAGCCAATCTTAGACATTTTTCTGCATCTTCATATAAGGTATTAGGCACAGACTTGTACTTCATATATTTATCAAAACAATCATTGGAAGCCCCAGTAGCAAACTTTAGCTTTAAAGGCAGAAGGCTCTGCTCCAATCCTTCAGTGCAGACAACAGAATGTAACATTTTAGGATACAATCATGTGGAGCTACAGATATGACTTCACAACAAGTCGCAAAATTAATAGAGGAATATGGTAAGGTGGTAATTCAGCTTAATGAGGTGGATTGGTCTGAGGACTAGTCTGACAAGAAACACAAATGAAGCTGCATCTTCGCAAACAAGCCTGTGACTTGACTGGTTAGCACAGCTCAAGTAGCACCCCAAGTCCCGAGTTCGACTGCCTGTGGTTGTGAATTTCAGGCTAGGTTAAAAAAGGCCCTCGTTGGCTCACACTTCATATCCAATAATCCAATAAACACAGAAAGCTGCTGGCCTAAAAGAGGTGCCACCAACAGGATGTAATTCTCAAGTGTGAAGCCAACCTTTGGGGCCTTTCTAGACCGGTAAGCATGTGTTTGATTTAGGGACAACCTGGGATGGGATGGTCCCGTTCCAATCATTGAGGATGGGATCGTCCCAGTCTTTGTTTGGTTTGAGGGATGGGACGATCCCTATTTTTTGTTAGATTAGAGGAATAAATTGGGATGGAATGGTCCTGTCCAGTGTTAGGATTGAGGGATGAGGATATGACACATTGATATGGTTACCCTAACTTTTGTTGGTGAGATTACCTCTCTAATTCAATTGTTTTCTTCTTGTTATCTTTTCTCCTTCATTTCCTCATTACTATGACTACCATGTGGGCCTGGATTTCAGCAGCTTCCATCCATTCCAATTCCCAAACCTTTTTCTCCTTCCTTCACATCCAGACCCAAGCGCCACCACCTGCTGCTTCTCTGCTAGGATACCGATGCCTGCTTCATGCTGTGACCAACTACCGCTCTGCTTCCACTGCCACTCTGCCATGACAGCTGCTGCTCCGCTCACCAGCACTGCTACTCGCCTCGCGCTGCTGCTCCACTCGTGCTGCACTCACCAACACCGCAACTCGTCCACGCTGCTCAATCGCCAGCGCTACAACCTACAAGAGGTGGGGTGAAAGGGACGGCACGTGCATCATGTTACTGCACCGAACGTCTCGTGTGCATCACATGGAGCTGGAATGAGGAACATGGATGACCCCGTCCACCAAATTTGGAGGGACAGCGCGAGCCAGCGAGCCCGCATCATGGAGGTATATTCTCATTTGGGATGATCCTGCCCCCTAGTGTCTCCAATCCAACCACCTCTAAAAGAGGGACTGATTCATCCCATCCTCCTTCAACCATGCAACCAAACACACGCCAAGAGTCTAGGCTCTGATGCTCTGTTTTAATTAAAATGCCCAGGAGATGTCTCCTCCCGCCGGTCTAGTTTCTTTTTGAGCTGAAGCTGTATCTTCAAGCAACATGTTCATAACAGAAGCTACAAGTAAAGTAACTCAATCCTCACCACCCCAACTGCAACAAGATGCAAACAAACTAGAAATAAAGAAAATCTAGCTTGTTTTGTACCAAAAAGAAGTAGAAAGCCTTAAGGAAATGCATACAAAATGTCCTGTTCACTCTTCTCTTTTTCATACTCATTGAGTCTTCATGATTTACTTACTCATACAATGAAAAGGATACTTAGAATCTAGACTAGATCATGTATCGAACAACTTAGAATTATTTTAGTAATGGATTCTGGAAAACCACTGCAGAGGTGCATCAGAACTGGATGCACTAAAAACAAAATGTGGGCTAGCACCAAAAAACTCTGGTAGGTGCTACATTAACATTTAACATTTAAGCATTTTTAATGTACTTTAGCCCATATGGTCTCGATATGGGATCGTTACATCTGCCCCTGAGTACAAATTCCTTCGTGTAACTAGAAGTCTAGAACAGTTAAAGTATCTCACTTTTTAACTGAAACAGAAAGCAAAAGAACACCTTGAAGAACACAAAAGAACAACTACAACAAAATTGATACTTACCACAAGTAGGACCATCAGAGGTATTCAAAAATATGCTTCGCAAGCTTTCATTTGCTTGTGATTCAAGTGGATCCATTTCCTCCTTAGGGTGAACAAAACCAGGTTTGTTATTCATTTTTCTGTCTATATTCTCATTATTGATCGAACTTTCTGAAGAGCAAGAAGCCAAACTGGACTCATCAATATCCATGCTATTCTCATCTGAATTATCCAGAAGATCAGTTCCTTCAGAACCATTTGACTTCATGGAAATACCACATGATTCATCATAAACATCAAAATCCTCAACTTGCATATCTTTAGGCAAGCCAGAGTACCATTTATCAAATGATATCAAACCATGAACCAGATTTAAGATTGGTTCTCTCCGCAGTTTGCCCTTGGCGATAAGGCTGATAAACAAAAGAAATTATCAAGTTCTCAAAGTACATCAATTCAGTCATGTGGAAAGAACTAAAAAAAGACAGAAGGGAAAGGTGGCAAGCAACTAATACCCAAAAGCTTCAACCCTAAGCAAGTATCACAGAAACTGCACATAAGGTACTAGGAAACTTTCAGCAGAAGAAATATCTAATTTAAGAAATGTATAGTCTTTTGCAGTGATAGAAGTGCATATGTATATTCTGAAGCCATATTGGAAATTGCACGTCTAAACTACAACTCAAGTATCTTGTAATTCATTGACCTCAAGCGAAAAAAAAATATGCTAATAATCTTTGCAACCCATGACCTTTTTCTTGGATGTCTACATACAGGTAACATGTTTCATAGAAGTGAACATAAAAAGTGAAGGGAACAGGCTTGTATGTAACCCATGACCACAGCAGATCAAGATGTCTAACAGATGGAACAAAAGAGAACACTGAATGAGTGACGCACGTTCTTGTTGCGATGTGTGCATTGTCGATGTTGCCTTGTGAAAGGTAAAATAGGGCCAGTTCAAGTGTAACCAAGTTTTTCTGTCAAATGAAAAAAAAAGTCATCAAGTATCTAAAAATAACAATAAAAAAATGGCCAAGCAGGCAGCAGAACATAAGTTATCGTGTTTTCCCATCTATCAATATTATAAAATTAAAAGCAAAAAAGGGCATTCTGCAGGTAAAACGAAAACCATCACATTAGTATTTAAAAATAAAAATCCTTGTAATCCTGATGTAGAAACACACAACATTTATTTTGTCCTCCAAAAAATATTCCAGATATGTCCCTATACGAAGCACTAGTAGTATAACCCAAGGTATGTGTTCAGTTTCATTCATATATTTCTCATTTCAGTTATACTAGTATAACACTAATCCCTCTAGATTACGGAAGCTTGACGGTAGAATTTGGAACTTACTTTTGGGCAAGAAGGAAACCAAATCAGCTTTCGCATCCAAACATTGAACAACTTCTGCGTTCTGAGGTAGTAGCTGCTCCTGCCGCCGTGCTGCACGCTGCTGTCCTTAGCAAGCCGCTTATGGATCTCCATGGCCACCTTTCATCCAGCACTTACATCAGAAACGCCAACTAAAACAAAGTAAAAAAAAATTGCAAATTTTATCAGGCATGGTTACTTACCACGAACATTCTGCGGGTCTCCTCGTAGGAGTCGGGCCTTCGGTTGCCGCTGAGGAGCGTCGAGACGACGCGGGCCGCGTCGCGCCACTGGTGCGCTCCCGCGAGCTCGTGGAGGATCTGGCCCAGTCGGCGGCGGTTAAGCCAGAGGGTGGGAGGCTCTGCTGCCGCGGGCCTCGAGATGGAGCGAGGGTCACGCGACTCGTTCGGTTTCCCGGCCGCCCTCCGGTGCCCCCCCACCCCGGCGTCCGCGCCGGGCTCGACCTTGACGGCGGAGCACGCGGGCGTCGGCGTTAAGCCGGCCACGGACGCGTCCCCTGATGCCACCGACGGGATGGTCTGGGGCGTGAGGAGGGGAGGGCTCAGGGGAAGCTGGGTCGGGGTTACTGGGAGGCGGCCTCCGCGGCGGCGCTTCTTGCGGGGCGGTGGCGCCGGCGTGTGAGCGCTGGGCTCTGCGACATCGATTTCTCTCTTGACGGTGGCGTGAAGCGAGGGAGACGGCAGCATCGTCCGCGCCATGGCGTGAGGCAGAGGCGGCGGCGGCCGTCCGGGTCGAGGGTTTTGCAAGAGTCGCGCCGGCCCTGCGGCGGCGGAGATGAGGAGTCTGTTTCCAATGGGCCGCTCGGATTAGTTTGGCGCCCACATCAATGGTTGAGAATTTTGGATCAGCTCCATATCATGTTGATCTCAAGGGTCTTCAGTTACCTCTATTTTGCTCCGGTGATGCGCTTCTTCGACATTTTCTCGAGCCGGAGATGTCCTTTCACGATGGTGCGGAGAACCCATAATTACGCCTCCCCAATGAAAGATGAGTTTAAGCATCACTTCACATGTTATAAACTTATAAGTAAATAATGTTAGATCTTTTTCGCAAAAAATATAATGTTAGATCTAGTAAACCTTGGAGCGGTAAACGTTCTTCGGTGGATGCCTATTTATGAGTGGAGAAAGAATCGGTATGAGAAGGAGAGCATGCAACAACTTTTGGCATGGAAAAGAGCATACAACAACCTTTGGGGCATTACTACATACTGTGATGTTTGAAATATGGTGCTAATAGTGCCAACTTCTTCTCCGTAGAGTTTGATTTTTTAGAAAATTTTCTATTTGACACTAGAAAAGTTGTGCTCTTCTATTTGACACTCAAACTTGAAATGTTTCTTATTCGTCCACTCTATCAATTTTTCTATCTATATGACATTTCCATCAGTTTGCTATTATTAAATCTCATGTAAAAAGACCGTTTTAGAAGAAATGCAGGTTTTACAAGAAAAAAAACTGGACAAACTAAGTGTGATGCACCTAGAACTATTGATATTCATAATCCAACTTTGAGATTCATACATTGCTGGCTCGCCATTACCTTGTTTTCTAGAGCTGATGCGAGAATAGTTAAAATTAATGAGCTTAAGCTTTTGTATGTTGTGGTTAGGAAAGTACGTGTTTCACCTGTTGTATACATGATTAATCAATGGTTAGGAGTTTTTTTTTATTGGTATAAGACCGCTCCTATATTTATATGAGAGGATCATGTTCGATTGATAGATCCATTTATCCACTTATCAAAATCAATTTTTCTTTATTTTTTATCATCTACCTAAAGATTTTTCAACCTCTTACTGTTCAGCACGTCTCTCGATGAGATTTGCTCATGTTCAGCCTTGCAAATCCTAGGGCATCCCTTTTTTCGAGTGAAGTCAAATTGGCCTCATCGACCTGCTGGCCAGCCTCGTCGTTTAGACCTCCCTCCATTGTGTATCTAAGTCATGTGTGGCCTAGGGTGATCTATCTCCTACCAATGTGTAATTCGAATAAGCGTCAACAAACTTTTTGACAACTCAACTGGGGCGATCTATCTACTAAGATGGTCGATGAAAAGAAGGATGCAAGCCTTGTGCTGTTCAACTTTTTGAGTAGCTCTGCAAGATCTAGAGGAGAGCATGAAGGCTTGAGCTACTATCGATCTAGAGTATGCCCTAGCATGCTTCGAGGTCGATAGGTGAGGAGCTGTCAAGAAGATTCAAGATGTCAACTCAATTATCTTATTGCTACGTCTACATCTGAGGTAAAAAAATCAACATCCACCAAGATATGGTACAACGCATGATAAATGTGTCTTTATGGTTAATGAATATACTAGATTAGTTGGAATTCAAATGCAAGAAAATCTTAGCAACTTTATGGCTGATTTTAATAAAAGGGAGGGAAAGAAATATAAAATTATTAATTTTTCCTTAAGATGCATATTGATGAATACCTGCAACAAGGGTTAACAAACCCTGAGTACAAAAAGTACTCAACAAGACTGACCCGACGAAAAAGGGTGAAGGTCTTAGGGATGCAGGTGTTGGGTCAAGGTAAGGATGTAGAAAGATTCAAAAGTTCTTTGCCAAAAGCGTACTATTCTTGATCCTAGTTTCAAGTTTTACCCCTAAGTACTTTAGTTCAATATCTCAAACTAAGTGTTTATATCCCATGTTCCAATCCTTCTCATTCCATTCCTTTTCTCAAGTTTTAGTAATTCACCAGTCCTGCATTGCTTCTATAATGAATCGAGTCTCCATATCCGCGGAGCACCGGCAATTCGAATTGATTCAAGTCCCAGCTGGGGATTCCTTATCACACGACATATGTAGAACTTAACCTTGCATATATCAACCTCGCTACCGGATCCTCCCGTACTAAGCCGTCTTCACACCACCCGAGAGTACAGCACACCTCAAATCCGGCCACATTCAAGCCACGAGGGTACACGCTACTCCCGCCATCTCACCACTCCCAGTGCGTGGGTATTCGTCTTAGTATCGGATTAGCCGAAGTAGGCTTACCGGAGTATGTGACCAGTACTACAAAGTGTCTCGTTCAGAAGATCCACAATGAGTGGCTTTTAAGTGACATAGTCGGCAACATTACCCAATATTCAAGATAAGTCACCCGACTAGTCTCTAGTTCATTCTATCTTCTTTCTTTCTTTGGCCAGTGTGCCATCTTTGATTGTATCGAAACTTTTACTTTGAAAGCCTACCATAAAGCATACTAAGCATTCTACGCCTTTGTAAATGAAATCATCTTCAAGGATGGTAAACAATTAACAAGGTAGACAATGCATCAAGTAGGTAACATTTGAATAAATCAACTTAATGCAATAGGTAACATAGGTGATAGACTTTTAAAAGTAAACAAGGGAATGGTTTAATGCATAAACCGGGGCTTGCCTTTGTTGACGATCTCAGGTTCCGGATCAGTACCACAATTACCAAATCCCGCGACAACCGGGTATTCTTCCAGCACTTGTTCAACTAGAATCGTTTCACTCTCGGGTTCTACACGAAATGATAACATATGCTTTAACATGATGATAATGTAAACATGATGCTTTCACGGTACATGAAATGTAACAACACCCCACAAATGATTTTATTTCACGGTATAGTTGCAAGTCAACAAAACCAACTTGCAATCCTACCATCAAGAACCATACATGGGACTCGACCAAATGGATCTTAAAACCCTACTGGTCACACAACCTAACCCAAACAAAAATTAAACCCTAACCCTAACAATTAGGGTTGCTTTTATTAACTTTTTAATTAATTTAAAATAAGCCCAAAAATAAACTTGTTCCAAATGACCTCAAAATTATTATGTAAGCTTTCTCATATCAAATTAGTGTACCAAAATAAATTTCATAATTTTTGGAGCTATACAATTGCCTACAAAAATCATGTAAATTGCATTTATTAATTAATGGACTGAATTTTTGAACATTAAAAATTTATTCAAATTTCAAGTTTCAAATTTTTAAACCATACTAGAGCATGTACAAAAGCTACACACAAAATTTCAGAATTTTTGGAGCTATCATGAATTTCCTACAAATTCCCAAAGTTTCAGCACTATTCACAAATTCAGAAAATAAAAATCATCGCTGTTCTTCTTCCTCACTTGCACTGACAGGCTGACCCCACCCGTCAGTGACTCAAACCTGTCACGACGGCGCTGCCCTCATCGACCCGGCCGCAAAATGCGCCGACGACAGTGATGTTCGTAAACAGACCTCACCAAAATGATCTACTACTTCCCCGAACCAATCTCATTTATCGAGAAAGGAAAAAGGTGCCTGGAGACACCTCCACACGGGCATGGCGGATGGGAACGACGGTGTGCTGGCGTAGCCAGAGTGGTGTGACTGCAGTAGGGACTAAAGCAAAATGGTTTTCACTTTGAAGCTCACCATGATCACGTAGGTAGGCTCGGTGAAGACGGAGATGTACCGAATCGCGGGACCACGTGAGACCGAGGATGGCGGAGCTCGGTACCGGCTCGAAGAAGACGAAGTCACGCGGCGGCTACTGGACTTCCGTGAGCGACACGATCGGGCTTGGGATGAGCAGGAAGACGAGGCGGAGCTTCTAGCCAAAGCAATTGGCCCTAGATACTACTGGCGAGGGACGAATTGCATGCGAGTCGCGGGCAAGACACCCATGCATGAGCAATCGACGGAAAAACTCCAAATGATGATGATGGCGTGCTCTTATTTATAGCAAGACGGGGGCGTGTGGTGTTAAAGACACTGCAGTCGAACTCGCCACGGAGGTATTGGCGTGTCACTGCGGCGTGTAAGCGGTGAAATCCGATCGGTGGTGATCTCGCGTGGCACCGGTGACAAGCAAGAGAGGTGGAGGTTGATTTTTGAAAAATTTATAGAATCGCCATTTGCGTCCATTTTTCAAATTACTCACAAATTTTCTCAAGAAGTTGAAAATCTCCAAAAATGAAAGTTGTTCAATTTTTCAAACTCTACAACTTTGCTTCTAGAAATATTTTCAAATTCTGCCTCCATTTTGAAATTTGAATTTGGGGTGCATTTGAGTATTTGAATAATTTTAAAATTACTCCAAATTTTATATGTAAACTTGAAAAACTTTGAATACCAAAGTTGATCCTTATAAAATAAGCTCCAACTTTGCTTTTTGTCACAACCCCAAATTCCAAATGGATTTTGAAATATCCAAAAGGGGCAAAAAGGACTTTTATAAATTGAATTTGAATTCAAATTTGATTTGTCTTCCTTTTACTTAAATTTTGATTTTTGACCAGTAACATGGCCCATTAGGGTTATTTGAGTCAAAAGACACATGGCCTCACTTGATCACATGAAATTTGACACTTGTGGTCATGATCTTTATTTAGGGTTTTGAATCGCATCACATGAAATAAGAACATTATGAAATAAAGCTTATTAGTGAATGCATTCAAAATTTTCTACTTTATGAATGCTTTGCAATGCATATGATGACATGCCAAGTTTTAGTTCTAGGTCCAAACACCAGAGGTGTTACAACCCTTCCCCCTTAAAGAAATCTCGTCCCGAGATTTAAAACTTAAGGCTAAGTAATGGAAAAGAAAATGTGTCAAGCTAACACATCATAACTTTATTCAAAAGACTAGTGAGGGGGTTTTCCATTCTTTTGACAAAATAAACAAGTTACAATATAGACGAGGTATTGCAACTAGAG